TAACTGTACCAAATATGAATTAGATATTGTTAATATTTTTCAAAATATTAGCATTGCAAATTTCATGACATTTTTTTTCACTTGATTAAAACTCTTTTATTTTTCAAAATTATGATAATCTTTTTTACGCTAAAGACATTGAAGATTAATCAAAAAATATATTTTTTGAATAATTTATTTATTAATTAATGTTTATTTTTAATATTTAAATATGTGTGCAATCAGATTTAGTTCTAATAAAAATATATTTTCAAACTTTGGAACATCATTAAAATAAAACCCTGAAATTTTAAAGATGGCATCTGCTTTTATTTTTAAGCAATAAATTGTCAAAGTTGAAAGTACATTGTCGTTGCGCCGGTAGCAACTATCTTACGCTAAGTCCGCGCTGCCTTTCAGTGTCAGATAGTTGCTCAGCGGCGCAGCGACAATGTAATTTCAACTTTGATAATTTATTGCTTAAAAATAAAAACAGATGCCATCTTTAAAATTTCAGAGTTTTTTTTAATGAGGTTCCAAAGTTTGTAAAAATATTTTTATTAGAACAAAATCTGATTGCGCATTCCTACTGAAAATTCTCATGTAGGATCTTATATAGGATCTTACATAAATTCATATATTAAAATCCACATAAAATCCTATGTGTTATGTAAGAAACTATATAGGATCTTATGAAAAATTATAAAGGAAATTGAGACATGATTTGAAGTGGGATTCGATGTTAATTCTTATAAACGTATTCTTAAGTATTAAATTATGTAAATTCCTATGTGAAATCCTACAATTTTTTCTGGTTCCATTTTTTCCTTCAATTTCTTATGTCAATTTCCTTCGTGTTTTCTCATTAAAAAACATACTAAAATTCATTGCTCAATCCTTAACCAGAAATTTTCCTATATCAAATCATACATCAAATCTTTTTTCGATTCTTGAATAAAAAATTATTACAAAAAATCTGCCATGAAATCATATTAAAAATCCTCACGTGGGATCATATGTATGATTGATTTGAACATAAGAAATCATATAAAAATTTATAAAAAAAAAGTTTATAAAAATTAAAAATTATTTAATTAAAAATCAAATAATATTACTGCAATTCATCTGAAAAGAAAAGAAATTGTGCTTTGCAATACACCTTCTGAGTTAGAGTCTCAGCTTTTATAGTATTCAAGACTGATCTCAACTGTGAGAAAAAAAATTATCACCATCTGGCGGCGTAAGAGTGGAACTATGATGATCTACATCTATATTGGAATTTCCCATATAATTTCCTATATAATTTCCTACATAATTTCTGATATAATTTCCGACTTGGTATCTTAGATGGACAAATAAAACAGTGAAATCCACACATGACATTCCACATAAATTCCTATATGATTAATTCTTACATGAGATCCTATGTTGGATCCTATATAGGATTTTATGTAGGATCCTATATGGGTGATTCTCCAGAAACAGGTCACTTTTGATTCTTTGATTAATTAGTTAATAAATATTATCTAGAATTGGTTTATTTTTTTTTAATTTCTTCATTTTAATGATCTTTAATAAACTCATTATCAATATAATGATATTTTACTTCCCAAAATTTATTTTGTCATCTGAAATATGCTAAAAATATACTTTTGCTCGTTCCACACATGGATTTTGCTATTTTTGAATAAGATTTTTGACATTAAAATTAAAAAAATAAAATTTGTCATTATAGTCATTTTAAAGTATTGCTGAAAAACTGTTATTCCCTAAAAGGGTTTTTAATTTTTCGTCCATTTAAATAAAAAAATGTTTATTTATAATGTTTCTTCGTAAATTTTTTTCTGGATCCGGAGTTGAGAATTTGACTAGTTTTTCGAGGTTTTGCTTGTTATTTTCATTGCAACTAAAGCAATTTTTTGATAAATATGTGTAAAAATCCCAATTGAATAAAAATCAACGGTACTAATTAACTAATTAACTTTTAAATTTATATTATTAAACAATACAATTTGCGTATTTTTATTATGTCTCAACTCCGAACCTGTTTAAAACAATCGTTTTTCAAAATAATTTTGAATTTCAACCTATAGTATCGATAAAAGTAATAAAATTGTATAAAATCCCTAAAGGATTTTTTATTTAGTCCTTAATTAACAAAGTAATTAATGTTTTTCATTTGTTTCTCAACTCCAGCTCTCTCAACTCCGGCCCCCGAAATTTTATTGAGCATGCGCAAGTTTCGCGCGAGCAGAAACGACACTCAACTACAGGGCCGTCATTCAGCTTTTCAGTTCCCTTGCGTTTAAGAAACTTAATTTTTTTTCTCTATTTTTATAAAAAAAAGCCGAGATAAATTTCTACAAAACAATTAATTTTTGCAAAGAAATTATTGTTTTGTTCTCGAAAAATTAAATATTAAAAATTTAATTACATGTCTGCGCAAAAACAATGGTGCCTGGGGCCCCGGCCGCCCTTGCTACGCTATTGCGCTGAAAGTACTACAATACATATTTATCGTTAAAATTACATTAAAAACGATTTTTAAGCTCAAATATTTATTAGAATCACTTGTTCCAATCATAATTAATAAAAAGGATGCAATAAACATGTATTTTTAAATAATTTTGAAAAAAAAATTCCTTATTCAAAAGTGACCCGTTTCTGGAGAATCACCCATATAAGATCATACATAAGATTTTACATGGATTTTTATATATATTCCTGTATGATGAATTCTTACATGAGATCCTATATAGGATCCTATTTAAGATCAGATTTTTTGTAATAATTTTTTATTCAAGAATCGAAAAAAGATTTGATGTATGATTTGATATAGGAAAATTTCTGGTTAAGGATTGAGCAATGAATTTTAGTATGTTTTTTAATGAGAAAACAGGAAGGAAATTGACATAAGAAATTGAAGGAAAAAATGGAACCAGAAAAAATTGTAGGATTTCACATAGGAATTTACATAATTTAATACTTAAGAATACGTTTATAAGAATTAACATCGAATCCCACTTCAAATCATGTCTCAATTTCCTTTATAATTTTTCATAAGATCCTATATAGTTTCTTACACGACACATAGGATTTTATGTGGATTTTAATATATGAATTTATGTAAGATCCTATATAAGATGCTACATGAGAATTTTCAGTCGGGATATATTTAAATATTAAAACTAAACATTAATTAATAAATAAACTATTTAAAAAATTTACATTTTTTAATTAAAATTTTTTTTATTGAACTTGAATATCTTTGGCGTAAAAAAGGTTCTTATCATATTTTTAAAATTTTGACAAAAATAAAGGAGTTGTAATCATAGAAAGAAATTTTTAAGTAAATGAAGTTACTGATTCTAAATTTTTTATATAGAAATTTTCATTAACTACAAAGTTGAGGTTAACTTTTAGAGTTTATTTACATAGTAAAATGTTTCCTCATAGATTTATATTTGTTTTATGCTCATTTCTTGAACACTTTGCTGCCTCATAAAGATTTAAGTCAATAAATAATATTCAATATTAAAAATTAATCGATTAATCTTGTGAAATACAAAACAATTAATTTAACTTAACTTTAAGGAGGGTGGCGGGTCAACATAACCTCAAAAACCTGTCCAAACTAAAAAATTGTTTTTAATGCAAACAAAAATATAATAAATATTAATTTCAAACAATTTTAGAAGATCTAGATTTACTCCTTTCGAAAAAAATTATTTTTTTAACAGTTAGTTTTTTTTCCTTTTAAATCAGATAAAAATTGCAATTTTTAACCAATTTTTATAAACAAAAGCTCATTTTACTCAGTGAAACATTCTCTACAATTGTTACCTTTTTTATATTGTAATAAGTATATTCTTAAAAAGTTATAAACAATTAAAATTTTATTTATTAAATAACCTTTTTAGAACATACTTATTACAATATAAAAAAGGTAACAATTGTAGAGAATGTTTCACTTAGTAAAATGAGCTTTTGTTTATAAAAATTGGTTAAAAATTGCAATTTTTGTCTGATTTAAAAGAAAAAAAACTAAATATTAAAAAAATAATTATTGACAAAATATTTTGGAAAAAAATAATTTTTTCGAAAGGAGTAAATCTAGATCTTCTAAAATTGTTTGAAATTAATATTTATTATATTTTTGTTTGCGTTAAAAACAATTTTTTAGTTTGGACAGGTTTTTGAGGTTATGTTGACCCACCACCCTCCTTAAAGAATTAATCGATGCACAACCAGACTCAAATTTTATTTGGTTCGAAAACACTACCGTTTGAAATGCTTTCATAATTCTTGTTTTAAAATGAAAAAATCTATTTACTTAAGCAAAAGTTAGGTATTTACACTAGCTTTAAAATGGAACCTCAACAATCAAAATTGGATGATCCAATTAAAGGTTATGGATAAAAAACGAAACCTGCCGTACAACCGGGGACACTCCCCTACAATAATGCCCTATATGTAAATTATTATTTTTAGCGGAGTGTGAAATATGCACTTCATTTAACAGCTGCTAGTTTGTTAAATAATGAAAAGTGCTTTCTTTCATGGGTAAAAGGTAAAACTGAATTATTTTTTTTCAATTTTACTTTTTCCAAGATCATTTATTTTCTATAAAGAAAAAGTTTATTGGTGAAATAATCATCCGAATTCATTCTTAATTATCAAAATAGGCACATCGTTTTAAAAAATAAAGAAAATATCGTCCTAATACTGATGAAAACTTATTCTTGAGAGCACACACTATACCTATACATTCACGAAAATGAAAAGAAAATATATTATGCTTATTCAAAATGACAGTTAAAGTGTTGACAAAATATGGAAATTTAAATGATTTTAATGTTCATTGAATGCTAAATTAACATTATATCATTAAAATACTTTATTTTGACATTGCTTTAAATAAATAAGAAAATATTTAAGACGAAAAACATTTTTTCTATCAGTTTTTGTGAATATAATAACTTTTCACTTAGGAGCTACGAAATATAAAATGTAATACATACCAATGAGTTACTGTGATGTTTCGCTGAGTAAATACGTATATAGATGCAACCAAATCAATATGAAATTTCTAAATATCTTTGAGAAATTAAGTTATTTCACGAGTACCTTCAACTACTAAAAGCTAACTACATTGCTTTGAATTTAAGGTTATAACACAGGCATACATACAATTATGTATATTGTGTGTACACATATACCCAGAAAATGTCACTAGCGTGGGAAAAATAACTTTCAAATTGCAAAAGTTGGTTTAAAGACAATTTTAAAAAGACGTAAAAACACTTTCTGAATTTAAAAATTGAAATTATGGGTTATAAAAAAGGAGTATCTCAATAAAATATTGTAAAATATCAGAAACTTGATTCAGTAGAAAATAATAATTTATTTAATTCCTGTTACATATTTTGGGTTAAATTGAGAAGCAGTGCATTTTAATAATACAAGGATGAATTTCTAATGAAACAGAAAGCAAATGTTTAGCTTGCAAATGCGCTGCTTTGTTGGAGTGTGTCACTGTGCTTATATGGGTTTGATCTTGAAGTGAAGTCCAATAAGCGAAAATACCAAGCACCTGAGGTCCTGAACGAGATAATAAAAACAACGAAGACCCTCTGGATCCCTAGATTGATTAACATCGAGAAGAGATCCGGTCTTGGAGGTGGTGAAAGAAATATGCTCATCACCAATGACTATTTCAAGCTCTTGTCTTCCAACACGGTCAGGCTGAGGCCAGAGGGAATCGTCTTCCTGCATTATTTCAGAATCTTGAATAATTCTTTTAAGCTCCTCCATAACACACTGATGTACGTATGCTTCTTTTCGAATCATGGTGTCATTTTTGTAATTCGAATTATTTGCGTACCGTAATTTGCCATCCGGCCTAAATTCAAATTCCAGAAACTCATGTCCAAACTTTCCTTTGTGTCCAACGTAGTAACGTATATAAAAGTCTGTTGACATCTCTTAAAAACTTTATTTACTGTCAATAAATACTACTTTTAAATGGAAAACAATTGTTAGGAAATTTCAGTAACTCAACAAGCTTTATAATACTGTATAATTCTAACCATGAAAAAAGCTCTGAATACACAAGTACTAGTCTACTAGAGTATATTGGCGTCTTGAGCGGTATCCCTGAAAAGCCGCTTCTACAATGGACTTTTGGATGGTATGAAGGCGGAAGCGTCGCTTTTTGAAAAGCCGCTTAAATTAAACGCCATTCTCCAATAAAGGCCTTTCTCCAATAGGATCCTAAACTCTTGCGTTGCGTATGCATTGCGTCGGTTGCTATTGGCAACCAATGCTAAAATCAACGCGTCAGTCACGCAACGCAAGAGTTTAGGATCCTATTGGAGAAAGGCCTTTAAGTTCCTAAATGTTTGCGTTGCGTGACTGACGCGTTGGTTCGCAAGCGCAGTGACGTCATCAAAGCATTGATACCAATTGCGGACAAAAAGTTTGGTTTATGATTTTAAGACACTGATTTTTTTAATTATAAATATTAAATAATTAAAATTATTAAAAGCCGTCGAGAAACATTTGAATTAAAAATTGTAAAGTTGGAAAACAGGGATAAGAGGAACATAAACGATTGAATCGACCCACTCGTGCGTGCTTTGTGGCATGCTCCGTATCCGTATCATACGGAAGCTTTGACGATGCTTATTTGTTTTGATTTCAAACCCAGTATAATTATTTTATTGTTATTACTGTATTTTAATAAATTAAATGACATCAAATGTAACAAAACAATGTAATAAAAATTAATTCATAAGCATAAATAGATTTTTATTGGGAACCGCAGAGCTGCGATACGCCATCTGGTGTCGACCCACTTGTGGTAGCCATTTTTTATTTTGTCTCTGTCTAACATATGTATAAAGAAAGAGACAAAACAACAAGATGGTTGCCGCATGTGGGTTCAGGGTTGAGTAGTTACACAAGATTTCGGATCCCAATAGGTACTGGTTAACATTATCGATAGAATATTATTTATAGTGATTAAATAATAATAAGTGCAAAAATGTTTACGTTTATCCATTTGTTTAAGTCTTAAAATTTTAATTCGTTTCTACATAAATTACCGTAAAATGAGGTAAAGTCGGCGTTTGAGGGTAAAGTCGGCCGGCGCTTTAAATCATTTTAAAGTTTAACTATTACTTTTTTCCAGAAGAAATCCGAGTTTTATTAAAAATGTAGTTAGAATTAATGTAAATTAATAAATGAAATACAATATTTAAGTGTTTAAAGCGCCGGCCGACTTTACCCGCAAACGCCGACTTTACCTCATTTTACGGTACAAGTTAAAAATAAAATAATAATTTCATTTCTGTATGTTTAAATGTCGTTAAATATACATATATTGTTGTTATTCAAAACTTGATAAATATTGTTATTTTTTATTTAACGTATTAAAAGTCAACTTTATCTTGAAAGCTTTTTATCAGTAACATATTTCTCTATTTTTTAATATTTTCTTTGTAAATAATTTATATCAGCAGATATATGTATATAATATGACAAAATAAATGTAAAATTTTCAGAAATACTTTTTTTATTTTGTTTTTAACAAAACGATCCTACATTAACCTTAAACTAATAAAACGGTAGCACATTTAAAATCCAATTTTTTAATAAAATCTATCAAGAATATGAATATTGTTTGATTAAGTATATCAGATAATTTTACATTTTTTGATGTCATTTCATTTATTAAAACACGGTAATAACAATAAAATAATTATACTGGGTTTGCAATCAAAACAAATAAGCATCGTCAAAGCTTTTGTACTATACGGATACGGAGCACGCAACGAAGCACGCACGAGTGGGTCGATTCAATCGTGCCTCGTATGCTGATTCTACACTCACCGAAAACTAAGCGAGCGGTCCGTTTTTCCGTCACGCTTTCCATATTCAACTATATCTATATATATAAAAAACGTAACGCAAATGCGGACCGCTCGCGCAGTTTTAGGTGAGTGTAGAATCAGCATTTCTCCAATAGGTTCCTAAATGTTTGCGTTGCGTGACTGACGCGTTGGTCCACAAACGCAGTGACGTCATCAAAGCATTAATACCAATCGCGAACAAAAAGTTTAGTTTCTGTTCCTCTTATCCCTGTTTTCCAACTTTACAATTTTTAATGCAAATTTTTCTCTACGGCTTTTAATAATTTTAATTATTTAATATTTATAATTAAAAAAATCAGTGTCTTAAAATCATAAACCAAACTTTTTGTTCGTGATTGGTATCAATGCTTTGATGACGTCACTGCGCTTGCGAACCAACGCGTCAGTCACGCAACGCAAAAGTTTAGGTTCCTATTGGAGAAAGGCCTTAACGCGAGTGAGTGCTTAAAAATGGTGGCGCATAGAAGCTTTCGTATTAATGCTGATTCTACACTCACCTAAAACTGCGCGAGCGGTCCGCACTTGCGTTACGTTTTTTATATATATAGATATAATTTAATATGGGAAGCGTCACGGAAAAGTGGACCGCTCGCTCAGTTTCAGGTGAGTGTAGAATCAGCATAAAGTGTATACTCGGGAAGTATGCAGGGTCCTTATTTTTCCGTGCGAAAAAAAGGACACTGCATACTTCCCGAGTATACTCTTTATCAAAAGTGCGCTAAAAATTTCAATTCGGAAACGGCCTTGATATTAAAGACATAATAGAAATTAAGTTAAAAATTAAAAACTATTCTTGTAACAATTTACCTGATATAATAAATAAAAACTTTTTAAGTATATACACGGAAAAAAATAGTTCGCGAAACTTTCGTAAACTAGTTTTTCACTTTTGGACGGTCCCAAAGTTTGGAAATCTTTCATTAACTTTATCCAAGATTTCACGAACGTTCATCAATAAGGTTATTCAAGTTGGGTGGGGGAAAGCCAAGATGGTTGCTTGCTGGTGCACCTATCAGCCTATCAGCATTCATTCCCACGAAAAATTTCTCGTGGGAATGAATGCTGATAGGCTGATAGGTGCACCAGCAAGCAACCATCTTGGCTTTCCCCCACCCAACTTGAATAACCTTATCTCTTCATGACGATATATGTCTGCGCACGCGCACAAAAAAAAGTTTGTGGAATCTTGAAAAAAAGTTAATGAAAGATTTCCAAACTTTGGGCCCGTCCAAAAGTGAACAACTAGTTTACGAAAGTTTCACGAACTATTTTTTTCCGTGTATATACCCCAATTATTTATTTATTCCAAAGGCGCTTGTATACCTCACCGATTCCGAGTATACTTCTGTCGTGTACCATTGGGGTAAAAGAGACAAAAGATATTTCCATATCTTTTACTCCAATGGTACACGACGCAAGTATACTCGGGATCGGTGAGGTATACAAGCGCTTTAAGGAAATAATATTTATTTGTAATTATTAAATTAATATTATGTACCATTAATTATTTCATTGTTAATCAATTTTTATTTCCAAACTGAGAAGTGCCTTTAAATGTAGAGAAAATTCTCCAAAGGAGAATATAACCGGACTTGAAATTACCGAGAATTTTGCGCCTCCGTGCCTAAGTTGCGTTATTTTACTTGACTGCCCTCTTCAGAGGCTGAGTGAAAGTATATTTCTCCTTAATTCGACTGTACTCTAGTTCTCTAGATTTTATTAGTTTAATGCATACATAATACATACTGTAGTGTTTTTGTGGGTGTTACATGATTTTTTCTATGATATTGTTGACAGTCACCTCTAGATATTTATTCTGAAAAAGAATTTGTGTGGCAAGTGCGGTTTTAATTTAATGAAATAATAAGTTGAAGCTTATTTAAGTTATAGAGAGTACTTTAAGTACAAGTTTCGCAAAAACGGTCTGGCGGTCGATTAGATTTGTAAACGGTAGCCATCTTGTTCAGAATCCCATGTTACATAGAGAATATTCTTTCATCGTTTGCCCACAATTTTCTGCAAACAGTTGCTTTATATTATTTTCATTACTTTTGGACTATGCATGAATTATATCATATTACATAGCAATGGCTGCGACGAGAAAGTTGCAAGGTGAGACATTTTTGTAATTTGTTTATGTTTGTTATGAATTTCAACCTATTCTCAATTTTTTCTAGCTACTTTTAGTTTTCTTTAAACCCTGTCTTCATTTCAAAAAGATTTCTTTTCTATTTTTAATTATGTTTACTCGATGCTGTTCTTTTTGCAATGTTTTTTTTACAAAAGTTACAATAATTATGTCCATAGTAGTGTTGCTGTTTTCTTTTAAGAATTGTTTACTATTTCAAATTCAGTTTGTATTGAAGTCAAAAACTCGGTAAATCATTCTCTTTTTGCACTTACGTTTGTTAATCAAATATTTTTATTCTTAACTTATCTGTGTTGTTGTTTTTTCGTAAACTACAAATGTTTCGTTTTAGTTTATTCATTTTCTCAATATGTACACTTTGTCCACTTTGTAATTTATTTTCCAACTGTAATACTATTATATGTTATTCAGATATTGTTAATATATGTTTTATCAAATTAGATAAAAATTCGTTCAAATGAAAATTAATTAGGAAATGTTATTAAAATTATTGTTTAGAAGAGGTACTAAAATTTATTAATGTTCGTTACGCGGGAACTTTTAAAGTTGACGCTCTTATTTACGCATATAATTATTAATTATCTTTGAGAGTGTACTTACAATGAAATGAAATTCCGATTTTGATTTCGTAAAATTACTTGACGTTTCTTAAATACCAAAAAATATATTTAACTCTATTTTAACAAAAAATATATGGATATGAAATCGTGTATCAAAGATTAAGAATAGTAAGAATCATAAGAGCGTTTAAAGCGGTAAATTTGAACAGTATTTCTTGTATTTAAATAAAAAAACATGAGGCATCGAATTTTTTGGATTAAAACAACCTTTTTATTTGTTCCGTTCGTTGGTTAATTCAAAATACGGTAACTAAATGTAAAATATTTTACGCAAATTATAACCTCAATGTCGTTCAATACTATTTATTCATCGGTATGCATTAAGGGGGTAGTATGGTGTTTACGCCTGTTTTTGGGAGCTTATTTCAGGATTTTTTTCGATTATAAAATAAAATATAATCACACCAAACCTTTTACATCGTTTATGTTTATAACAAAAAAATGAAGAAGCTGCTGGCGCGGGTTATAACTTTCATTGGTGTCATCTAAAACCAAAAAATAAAATTGATTATAGTTCTGAATGCCAGTGCCACGGTGTTCTAGAAGCGAAGATAGGTTTCACAAAAATGCGAATAAAAACGGTTTGTGTAGCGTGTTTTGTACATATTTATAGGTTAAAAATCCATTTGAAATAAAGTCCTACCTGTTCCCGTTTTGGAGAAATCCATTAAAAACGTTTTTTTCACAGAATATTGTAGGGTATTATTTTAATCCTAAAATGGATTAAAATAAGATACAACTCTTTTACCCGCCGTGGATAATAATAATCCATCGAAAGATTAAAATTTAAGTTAGGATGAAAAATAATTGAAATATTTATATATAAATTTTGGTATTATTTTAATCTGCAACGTTTTTTAATACCTTTTAGTTTACTGTGTTTTTTGATAAGGAATAAAATTCTTATAAGAAAGAAAGACAAATTGTAGGAAAATTATATTTATATATTTATATTCTTACATAATATTTTTTTTAATTTTTATATATAATCTTTTTATGTTTTTCTTCTTCTTTCTTCTTAAACTTATAGGTTTCAAACATTCGTTTTAGGTCTGCAAAAAATATATACTTTGTAATATTAAACAATTATTAATACAATTATTCTGTAGAAATACAATTCGCATTTAACCAAACAAACTGTCAACACATTATTTATCAGTGAGATTGACATGCCCAGGAAATAAAAACCTATTCAATATTTTTGAATCGGTCGGAGGCTGAGTTGAATCCGCATTTTTAAAAGGAAATCTCATATTGACTCCGATTCAAATCATTTACATTTTTCAAACTTGTCTTCATCATTACCTGTTAGTTGAGAGACAGTGATATGTATCTTTTCAATTTTAAAAGCATTAAGCAAATCTTACTCTCCAGTGTATAATTTATTTACAAAGCTCGTTTATTAAAAATTATTAAATTTTGTGCGGAATATGACAACAAAAACCTGAAATTTTTCTATCCGATTCAAAATTATCAAAATGTTACATTCCGATTGAAAACATTAATAATGAATCCACATTCTTAAAATATCTGATTCACTAAAAGGTGCATTTAATAAGCTTTTATTCCTGGGTGGCAATCATCTAATTACAAAAAAATTTATCCTGTTTCCTACTTTATGAAATGAAAACAATTTTATTCTTTATCAAATAAAAAAACGTTTTCAATGTATTTCTCCAAAACGGGAGCACCTAGAGCACCGTGACTGGCTATCCCCCGAACTAAAATAAAACATTTTTGTTAATAAATAACAAAATGGCGAACTTATAGAGAAAAAAATTCAAAAAACATCTGTTTTTTATCGACAAAAAGTTATAAATAAAATTGCATAATTTTAGTTCGGGACATAGGCATGGTTGTGTAGAATAAGCTGTAAAAAATTGGAGCAATTGGTCGGATAGATTTTTGTAAATCATCCGCGCCAGTAGCCTATTTCATTTTTTCGTTATATACATTAATATTAAATAATAATAATAATAATAATAATCTTAAAGGTGTTAAAGTTTATCAATCTTTCAAGTCAGTTGTAATATTTAAAAAAAGGAAAATAAAAATAAAAAACGATCCCTTTTCTTAACGTTTCGACAGCACAGCTGTCCTCATCGGAAACGAAAAAAGAAAGTCCGTGAATTCTGTTCAGTGTTCACTGACAAACACTGGACATTGAACAGAAGTCACGGACGTTCTTTTTTCGTATCTGATGAGGACAGCTGTGCTGTCGAAACGTTAAGAAAAGGGATTGTTTTTTATTTTTATTTTCCTTTTTTTAAATATTACAATTGACTTGGAAGATTGATAAACTTTAACACCTTTAATATACACTCACCAGGTGATAAATTCAATATTATTGAAATAAAAATAATCGATTATAACTTTTTAACTTATAACTTTCTCATAATGAGAATAAAACGATGTAAAAAGATTTGGTGTGATTATATTTTATTTTATAATAAAATAAGAATCCTGAAATAAGCTCCTAAAAACAGACCTAAACAACAGATTGCCCCCTTAATAATATTTCAATAGGATTACGAATCTGAGGTCAGTTTTTCAAAATTAATTTCTAATTATTAAAATTTTTCCGCCATATTGGATCCGCCATTTTGAATTTTGAAAAACTGACCTCAGATTCGTAATCAGCGACCACGAAAACCCCCGAGTACTCATTTTGGTGAGCTTCGCATAACTTAGTTTTATACAAATCTGATATAGATCGAAATCACTTGAAAATATATTAAAAGTGAAAAAGTACTTTGTTCAATAAATCTAGTGTAGAATTGTCATTTTTTATCCGATCGAGGTCTACAAAAACTTAAAAGTTTCGTAAATAAATATACTATTAATAAAAAATTTAAAACTTGCATTTTTTTGATTGTTTGACTTTGAAAAAATTAGCGAAAGTTAGACGAATGTCTAAAAATCATTAAAATTTGCTTGAAATTTGAACTTTGATCGACTGTAACTCTGACAATTTTGAATGGATTTTATTGGTTGACCAATGGTTTGAGAGCTAATTTAATTATCTTTCAAATGGTGATTTATTTTTTACATTTGGATTAACTGCTTTCTCTACCGGTGACTTTAAGTGACGTCACACCTCGAAAATGCATAGTTTACTGTTAGAAAAAAATTGCACGAGGGAAAAAATTTAAAATATGATTTTCTTACTTAAAAAACACGCATTAATCGAAAAAAAAATGTTTTGTTCGAGTGACAAAAAAAATTTTGAAATTTGTAAACCAGTGTTATATACCTACTTCCCGTTTGCTTAATAAGTTTCAATAATAATTTTATCTAGTATTACCTATTCACCTTTTTTCATCTATTTAAAAATGTTGTCACCTATTTTGATAATTTGTTATTTTTTTCACCATTCTCGTAATTTGATTAATTTGCAGTTGTAATAGGTAATAAAAAAATAATTAAATTTACAATTTAAAAGCAACGCTTTCAGCTCAGGAATATTTAAAAATAATTTATTAGTTTAAAATGAATTTCTTTTAACATTCCTTAAATTGTATTAATAAAGAGGACTCTAAATCACACTTATTTGAACCAAATGAATCGTATTTGGTTCAAGTAAATAATTAACTAAATCTGATAAATTAATTTATTTAACGCAAATAAATTATTTAAAACGATTCACTTCTTTAATTAAAGAATGAAAAATACTATAATAATAATAAGACGATCTATTTAATTATAATAATACAAAAATCCGTGCTCAATCTGACAACTATAAAAAAAGAATGATTTTGGAAATGACGCATATTGCTAATAATTCAAATACTGTCAACCAACGGACAGACGTAAAAAATCTATCTACATTTTACAAAACATTACTACAACAGCAGGGTGTCTAACGGTCAGGGAAATGTCAGGGAATTTCTTGAATTTTCTGGAATTTTTTATCAATCTATTAAAATAAGTATTTTTTGCTTCAAAAATTTTTTTGACTTTTTTCTCTAATCCAATGAGATATAAAAAGTGCGCCTTTCCACCTAATTATTAAGCATGCGTTATATCTACATTCAACTGCGTTGCGCATAGCAGCAATTTGTGTCCTTATACAAATAGTATACCTGCGTATATTGAATACTGTTCATATATGTCTATTCGTATGTCGTGAAATAATATATATTTATGTCGCAAGCACGTGTTCGATTGAGGTTATGTTATTTTTCATTTGAAATAACTCATGTTTTCAAAAGGATTTTTTTGTTGATATTATTGTATTTAAATAAAAAAATGAATCCAAAGTTTTGTACGTTTAACGTTAGTTGGATAAAACAACAGGAGTTTTCATGGGCAAAACCGATTGAAGGTAACACAAGATTCGCACA